TTGCTTCTCTCTGCCAGAATCCACGACTGGGCACATAACTCAGGGTCATTCCCGAGTAACTCCTCCTAATAAAGAGGCCACTGGTATTTCCTGGAAGTTGCACCTCCAATCATCGGTTATTTCTGCTGCTCCCTCCTTCACTACGTCTTCAGCCCCCGACCAAAACAGTGCTCCTTATGCAATCCAGTGAACTCAGAGGAAATAAGCTCAGATAAAATGCAGTCCCTAGGGCCAGGTGATGGCACAGTGGTGGCACAACTGGACTCACATTGGGAAGGTCTCGGGTTCACATCCCTGAGGCCTCCCTAAATGCTCTGAGGGTCGGCTGTGGTGTGGGACTGTCTGGGATGCTGCACGCGCGCGCACACACACACGCAGGAAATAAACAGACTTTTTTTTTTTTTAATGCAGCCCTAGCAGGATTCAGACCCAAGGCCTCTGAAATGGGGCAAAGCACTAGGGCAGCTCTTCCACTGTGGTCACAGAACCATAGAGCTCGCAAACCTCAAAAATCTACGAGAAACAACACCCCAAGGGGTGTTAAAAGGGATCACCCATTTGGGCATGACTTCCTGAGCTCTGCCTGGGTTTAATAGCAACAGGGCTCAAGAGTTCAGCTCCCCTTTGACAAGGTGCAGTGGGTAATTAGCAGGGATTCCTGCACCTGTGTGTGAGGCGTCCACCCCCCACCCCTCCCCAGCTGTGACCACACAAGCCAAGTGAGTCATTGGCCAGGGAGGTTAATCCCCACACAGCTGTCTAAACCATTTATAATGAAACCGCAGCTTTTCCACATATATGTAAGCTGGGTTTTATTTTTCATTTTTTGCTATAGGATGCATGTGCTTGCCAAAGAGACAGAGACAGACAGAGAGGAAACATGAGACATCATGGCTTGGGGGAATGGCCACCCACAATCCCTTCTCCTCCATTCTCCTCTTGCGATTTTGGGCACACATGCATATGCACCTGGCATGATTCTCAAGCTGCCGGGTCTGGGACTTGAACCACACAGCTAGCTAGCTATGTGGGATCCAGCAGCTTAACTTCCACACCATCTGCTGGCTCTGTAAGTTGTTTTTCAAGAAGGCAAATCCCTCACCTAATTTCCTTATAGTTAAACTCAATCCCACATCAAGCACATGCAAAATATTTCATAATAAAGGCAGCATGGGCCATCCCATGGCATGCTGATTTAAGGTGGCTGGATGCTACATGGCTGCCAGTGCAGTTCAAGGCCCGGACTCAGTGGCTTGATAAACACACTGGGGCCATGTGTATGCATGGCCAAAATCCCAAGGGGCGGAGACAGAAGAGAAGGGAGTGTGGCATGACCATGCCCAATGGGGGAGTACTTTCTCACTTTCCCTCAATAGGTAAAAATAAATAAAGGCAGCTTTGTCTCATGCAGAGCCATGAGAAGTCATAAATTGGGGTAAATTGAGGCTCACCAGAGTTCTGAAAACAATTAGCTGCGTGAGGAAGACTAAAAATTTGGCAAACCTAGGTATTTACAGATGCAGTTTTAAATGTCTGCACCCTTTTGATAGGCTTTTACAGTCATTAAATAACAAATTATTTTACTTCTGGTGTTTCCTTCAAGGCCACATATAGAAGATATGTAAGACAGGGCCAGCAGGTGGCAGGATGATTGAGGCACTGGATTCCCACAGGGTCAACTGTGGTTGGAGTCCTGGGCCTGGCAGCTTGCTTGCTCATGTTCCCTCTCTCCTGACTCTCTCTGGTGAGTCCCTATAGCAAATGTTAAAATAATAAAAATAGGGTCAAGCAAGTGATGTAGTGGTTAAGGTGCTGGACTCCCACATGGCCAAACAGCAGTTCAAGTCCCAGACCCGGCAGCTTGAAACTTACACTGGGTGTGAGTGTGTGTGTGTGAGAGAGTGTGTGTGTACATGTGCCTAAAATACAGAGAGGAGAATAGAGGAGAATGGATTATGGTGTGGCCACCCCCCCCCCGGGGGGGATCATTTCTCATTTTCTGTCCCTCCAGTAAGTGCACATGCCTTATAACAAAAGTGTCTCAAAAATAAATAGATAGATAGATAGATAAAAATAATAAATAAAAAAAAAACACCTGCTGGCATGGTGGTTAAGGCATTGGGCTCTCACATGGCCAACCATGGTTTAAATCCTGGATCTGGTGGCTTGCTCTCTCATCTTTCCTCTCTCTTTGTCTCTCTCTGGTTAGTACACATGCCCTATAGCAAATTAAGAAATAATAATGATGATAAATAAAATTAAATAAATAATTTTTTGAAGAGGTTTTTGCTATAGGGCATGTGTGCTCGCCAGACAGACAGAGACAGAGAGACAGAAAGTGAGAAATCACCCCCCGAGGGGATGGCCACGCCGCAATCCCTTCTCCTCCATTCTCCTCTCAGGATCTTGGGCACGCACGCACAGGCACCCGGTGTGAGTTTTTAAGCCATCGGGTCCAGGACACGAACCACGGTCAACTATATGGGAGTCCAGACATAGCCATTATGCTAACTGCTGGTTCCAATAATAATTCTTTTTAAAAAGGAATGAAAACCTGCCTTTTGGAAGAAGCTAGACCAAACTAGCTTTAAAAAACAAAATTATTTACGCCAAGTATCTCTCTGTTTTTTTAGAGAGAGAATTTTTTTAAGTTAATTTATTTCTTCCACAAGTGAGAGAGAGACAGCATCCTCAACAGTGTCCTGACGCCACAATCCACCCCCAGCCTCAGCCAGCCTGGGATCATAGGCAAGCACATGGCAGGCGTGCTCAGGGAAGTCTCCAGACCTGAACTGGGAACAGTTCATCGCCCGAAAGAGCATTGCATTTCGCTGCATGCCTAAGGAACACTCTCACAAACAAGTGAATGAAAATTTCACATTTCTGAACTCTGAAAGTTTTTTCTCAAGTCCATTCTTTCTAAAATACCTTGTAATTAATTCAGCAATGTTCTTAAACATAGCAAATGTCCAGTTTCAACGGCGTGCTCTGTGCAAATCACTCTGTGATTGCGGGCTGGCTTTACATTCCCAGGCGCTCTCTGCACCCTGGGCGCTGGTTCCAACTGCCACCCTCCTTCTGCACCTTGGCTGGAGGGGCTTTCTGCAGGGGGTCCTCAGCTTGGGCCTAACATCCTAGAGAATATTCTCAAGAGCACAGCTCTCCTCCCAGATCCATGATTCTCAGACTCCGGTGGCCGGACTCCCCTGAGTGCTGGTTAAAATGCAGAGCCCCAGGTCCCATCCCAGAGTTCAGTTTGGTCTGTGGAGCCTGGGAATCTGTTAACCGGGTTGCCGTGCATCTGACGCTTTGCAGTTTGAGATCAATCTCTGAACGCTTTTCCCAGTCTGGATCCCTGAGCCTTGGGGAGGACATCTCTCCTCTGAAGCCCCTACCAAAATGGCAACGTTAAGTCGGTTCCCCTAAAGGAGAGTCGCAGACCGCAGGCCTGGCTGTCCTGCCAAGTCACCAGTGTGAGGGTGAGGGCACAGAGGAAGAGGACCAGCGCCTTCCCCTTTCGCTGGGCCGGCAGTCTTTGAGCAGCGAGGCCCAGCCCCATCTCCCTCGCAGCTGCTGGTCCATCCTTTTCCAAAAGATGCCAACAGCCCCAGCCACGTTTAAATCTAAACCGAGGTTCCTGCTCCCAGGGTCCCCCCTCTTCATACCCCTGCAGTTCTCATTGAGAACGCCAGTGTTTAAGGCCGACTCGTCACCATGGCAACCGACGTGGTGTCACCAGACACAGGATTATGACTTCACGGCATGGGGATTCCAGAGGAGGGGCTGGGACGGAGCCCCCCCGGAGCCCCTGACTCACACTCAGACAGGGGGGAGGAACCCCTCTTCCTTCTCGCCGTACCCCGGCCTCCAGCAGGCCCTCTCCAGCTCAGCTGCCACGTTGAGGACATAGAGGAAGGACGGGGCCCCTCGACCCTACGAGGAGGGCGATGATGGCGGGCTCGGGAGGCCTTGCAAACTTGGCCCCAAGCGATTGAGAGGAATCACGCGCGGGCCCGGGCGCGGGGGGCGGGGAGGCGGGCGCGGGCGGTCCCCGCGGGGGCCTAAGTCCCACCTTCGGGGCGGTGCCTGGCGCCGGGGAGTGTCAGGAAGAGGAAGAGCGCGGCCCGCGGCGGTGCGCGGT